AGAAGTTAAGGGAGTTTGGCTGTGTCTGCTTTAGAACTGTTTTAGGAGGGGTTGCAGGTAAAGGCAAAGGAATGTTGACAAGCTGGGTTAAGGGGAATGGTGAAAAAGGTATAGTGGAAGGGAGAATGTGGGACAAGAGAGTATAGGGCTTGGGAGCTACCGGGCGTATGGGGATAACAGCTTCGTTAATGAGGCGCAGGTCCTGGACCAAGCGACAAGTACCGTTTGGTTTTTTACTGGTAAGCTTGGATTGTTGCAGGGAGAGTGGGTAAGAGTAATGAGGGTGTTCGAAAGGAGGCATTGTATGATGGGTTAACATTAGGAAGCAAAGAGGTCTGTAGGGCCAGTTTTTCCAGGTCGGGTGAAAGAAGGGGAAGGAGCAGAGGTGCTGTGAGACCAAAAGTAAGGTGTAAGGTGGCTATTAACTAATTTAGAATGTCTCTTCCCAACAGAGGGACCAGGCACGAAGGGATTCTAAAGAAGGAATGAGTAAAGGGCTGGTACACCTGGGGCAGGTAGGCTTGCCACCAATATCTATGACCGAGATTGAGGAAGGACTGTCTAGCCCTGAAAAGGAGGGCAGGTCAGAAAAGATAGCTTCTGTGCCAGGAGGAAATTATTTACTCACCCAATACCTTGAGCAATGCCCCAGGCTCGGCGAGGGTGACGGGGGTCCAGTCAGGGTCTCCTCAGACTTCAGCCAATCCCAGCAGGGCCAACGGCGGGTCAGGAATTGGAAAGACAGTCCTCCCATGTGGAGACACAAAGGGCCTGTGGCTTTTCCAAAGACAATCGGACTTCCAGTGTCCACTTTGACCCCATGCCGGGCAGGGTTTGGTTGGAGTTTTAGGCCTGGGGCACTTTTGTGACCAGTGCCTTTCTCTGCACTTGAAGCATGCACCCTTCTGGGGCCTTGGGGGTCGCCTGCCGCAGGGCTGGTACAAAGGCTTGGGTTGAAAATTTACCTTCTGCCAGAACCAGATATCATGGGCTGACTGCCTGCTCCTCACGGCTGTTAAAACCTTAAATGCCATGTTCACTAAATCTCAGACCAGGGTTCAAGGGCCTGTCTTCCACTTTGTTAAGCTTTTAATGTAAAGCATCAGTTAGGCAGCTTAAAAAGGTGGCTTTTGAGTGATCTTAAGATTATCAAAATTGACTCCTATATGGGAAATGGCCTGAAGCCACGTCAGGACACACTCAAAGCATTTTATTACAACAGGTACATCTGTCCCTACCTGCTTGATTGTTAATTTGATCACTTTAACCAGGTTTTTGTCTGGGAACCGCCTAGGTTAGGGTTGGTCAAATGAACCTGGTTGGAGTGCTGCTGAACAGAGAGATAAGAGTGTGTTCCCTCTTATCTGCGGTTAGGGTAGAGGAAAGGATGACAAAAATATCATCCCAGGACAAATCATAAGCTTGAGTTAAATACCGAAAACCCTTAATATAGGTGGTAGGATCATTATAAGGGAGCCTAAACGCTTTTCAATCTGAGATAAATCAGTGAGAGAGAAGGGAACATGAACCGGACCACTCTCTCAGCCCCTGCTGCTTTCCAGA